AGACAGAACCGGAACCGATATGAATGAATCGGTTTTTACCGGTATTTTTCGGTTTCAAGATTTCATAAATTAGGCTGTTTGCTGATTGTTCGTATCGTAAAAAATTTATTAATGCAATACTCTAAAAACAGAGCGTTTGAAAGCTCGCATTTCTGAACTAGGCAAAGCTACACCAAGGATACTACACATTACACACTACTACAGGATTGCTCATCGGCCTTGATTTTTGGAATCAAGTTCATATGGTGTTGCACCGTTGCCGACGTCATCAACGGTGTCAGCGGTTTGGGCCAGCGGTCGTAGTTGAGAATATACATTTATGATGAAAAATATTATTTAATTTTGAATTAGCAAAATAGGCAAAGAGAGAGAGAGAAATAGGATGTTAATAAATGTACTAAAACCAAGTATGCATAAAGCAAAAGTACGCGAAATCATAGCCTATGGTGCAAACACCCTACGTCAAGGCGAGAAACCACACGCTGCGACGTCATCACTGATACTTTAATTTTTCTGCTAAATATATTTTTTAAATTTTTCTGTTAGATATTTGTGAAAAACTATACCGGTATGAACCGTTAAAACCAAAATTATTGGTCCGAACCGAATCGAAATATTTCTCTTAGAACCGCAACCGTAACAGAACCGATATTTGTCATGACGCTGTGGACCGGAACCGGAACGGAACCGATATTTCATTTCGGTCCGGGTCCCTGATTCTAAATGTAGAAAAGATGATTTTAACAAGAATATAACGTTTAGGAATTAATTTTTTTGTGTGCTTTAAACTCGAATAATGAATTTTACTCCAAGAGTGGACGTCTGCGGCTGACATAGCAGTTGGCAGACACTTTTTTTAGCTCAATAACCAGTCCCACTAGGGTTTAAAAACAGGATAATCTCTGCCATTTTCTGGACACCTGAAACTAAGATGATCCGTTTTTTTCCTACGAATGTGCGGAAAAAAACTTTTGGCATGCACAAAGAGTAATCTTTCCGCACACCCTTGGGAAAAATTGTGTTCCTTAAGCCTAGTACTCATAACCGGGAAATTCGCTCTTTTTTGACATTGCTTCGACAATTTAACGTTTGATTCACGCATAAAACGTCAAATTTTCGAAGGAATGTCAAAAAAGAGCGAATTTCGCTGTTAAGAGTACGTGGTACTAGGCTTAACACTTGCGAGAAATGGTATTTCCCGCACTTGTTAGAAAAATAACTATTTATTTCCGAATTTGATATGAAAAAATTATTCGCCCTGTAGGAGAACAAACGAGTTTCCAATTCCACTCCAATCAAAAGGCACTGCTTCAAAATACAAAATTTGTAGTTTCAATTTTCAATTTATTCAATCATAAGCAGTATAATCAATTTATAAAAGGTTATTATATTCTCTGTCCATTCAAAACTCAAAAGGCCGGGATAATAAAAATAAACAACTGTGGTGGCGTGTGGCGTGGCGTGGCGCTGATTCCAGTCCAAACATTAAACATGAAAATGCCAAAAATTGCAACGTCGCATATAAATTGTTTTGAGGCTAGGACCAAGCTCTTGTAAACAACTACCCTAATGTAATTAGAAAGTCAAGAAAAGACTATGAATGCAACATTGCGTCTCAAGAGTTCAGACTTCAGATAAATTTTCTTTTAAGTAGGTATGTGAACAAAACACTATCATCCAAAGTTTCAACAATAATATTAAAGAATGAATCAGATGAACTTTTCACTGACGACTTTGATGTAGCGGAATGGTTTGCAAACCAATTTGAGAAGGTATTCACCAAAGGAAATCCAAACGAAATGCCATTACCGAAATACCTATTTACGTCCAACTTCACAGATGTCAAATATTAACTTATCTCCTGATAAGGGGTATGAAGCAATAAAATCGTTGAAGACGGATTCCAGGAGACAAAACCGCTCCATGGAACTATCGTCCAATAAGGTTGACATGCAATCTATGCAAGTGCATGGAAAAATTGTAGTGAAACAGTTACCCCATTTTTACTGGAGAAAAATGCATTACTGAAGCACCAACATGGCTTTCTTCCAGGGCGATCTACTACAACCAATCTCATGCACACTATGCTTGGACGATTGGACAAGGGATTTTGACAATAACGAGCAAGTGGATGTGATATATCTCGATTCCGTATGCCTCAGCTATCTCCTGCATAAATTACATCACTTTGGCATTGTTGGGAGCTTGCTACAATTTGTATCAAATTTTCTATCGAACCGATACAAAGTAAGAATAAATGCAACATTTTCAGACAGAAAAAAAGTCCAGAGTCCCAGGATTCAGTACTGGGCCCTCTACTTTTTCTAGTATATGTATGTCAGCGATATGACATCAAAAATCCAAACCAAAATCCTGCTTTTTGCTGACGACACGAAATTGTATGCAAAGGCCGCAGAACACAAGAAATTGCAAGATCTCAAAGCTATAGAAGTGTGGTCCAATACCTGAAAAATGAGGCTAAACGAGGAAAAATGTACTACCTTGAGCATTGGGACCAATACCACTGAATATGTCTACAAAATAAACAATGTTGAGCTAAAGCATGTGAGGGAACAAATGGATTTAGGTGTCATAGTAGTCTATAATCTGAAATGGGAGATGCACGTAACAAAAATAGCCAAAAAATCCAACTCATACATACATATACTTTGTGAAAAAGGCCTTTGAAGACCAGTCGTGTGACACCATTATGAAACTGTATAAATCTTTTATACGTCCAAAACTAGAATACGCCCACTCAGTTTGGAATCCGTACCTCATAAAGGATACTGAGATACTAGAGCGTGTGCAGAGATGAGCAACAAAGATTCCACCATCACTCCGTAATGAAGATTACCTTATTCGACTATCCACTTTGGGACTCACTTCTTTGAGGAAAAGGCGTCTGAGAGGAGATCTGGACCGGTATTGTCGTCCTCAAAAACACTCACCGCTTTTCAGTCGCTCAGCACTTTTAATTTAAATTCATATTAAAAGTACCGAGCGACTAAAAAGCGGTGAGCGTTTTGGAGTACGAGAATACCGGCCCTGATCGAGACATACAAGATTATTCGAGATTAATCGAGATGGATACTCCTGTAACCTTGACATCTTTACCTTCAATGACAACATACTTTAAAGTCGAGTTTAAAGTTGTGCGGGGAAAAACCGCCAAGCTTCCAAGAAGGAACTTCCTAGCGAATCGAATTGTCTCCCATGGAACAGCCTGTCAAATTCTACAGTCACCGCACAGAGTTTGAATTCTTTCGAGAATAAGGTCGACACCGATATGAGTGCATTATTCCAAGTGGATATTCATTATGAACAATAACTTATCAAAAATACGATAATAAACTTTCAAGTAATCTAATAGTTTCATCAGTGTAAACTGTTGACTATTGTACCATAATAATAAAAATAAATAATGATAATAATAATAATTGTTCAAGAAAATAGTGGGATTTCATCCTCTCCTGGACTAGAATCCAAGTTTGGCATATAGCCTAAATCTTCTCTTGTAGAAACAAGAAACACTATGAAGCTGTTTGGCAAACAAATTGGCATCTTCTTTCTTATCATCAAGGGTGCAGTTAGTGGTTACATCCCTAAAGTGAGAAATGCATAAGTCTTGAAGATATCTGTTTATGTAGCAATAAAACTGCTTATCAGAAGAGGTTAGCAATTCTTGCTCATATTTTCTTCTAAACTGTTTTATCTTAGTTTTGAGGAAGTTATTTTAGTTCCTGTAGTTTGTAGTTCAAGTTGCCATTTTCAGAATTGCTTCTCAATTTCTTGTGGCACAAATTTCTCTTTTTTTCATGTGTTTAAAAATTTCTTGAGTTAGCCAAGGCATATGGGAATTGACAATCTTTAGTTTGAATAGAATGAAAGAGCTGATTGTGGATGCCAGAATGTCCATGAACTTTTGATAATTAGCAGTGATGCTGGAGAATTCTTGCTATAGATGTGTGTTAATAAGTTCATAGAATAATGGAAAGCAGAAAAAGGAAAGGAAAATAACACTAGCAATATTTGCAAAAATTAATAGAGTAAAACTCCTCTCTTAATTTTCATTCAATGTCATATAAGTCTCAAGCAACAGTGAATATAAATTCGAGGATGAAATATGACGAAGATGAAGATAGAAAATATTAATTTGAGGAAAATGAAACAAAACTTGAAGAATAAGAATTCAAAATCAAATTCATGGGAATATCCAACAAAACCGATAATTAACCAATTTGCCATTATCATGAAACTTCTGGAACAGAACCTTAAAAGTAGTTGGTACTTACAAATTACAAATAAGAGAGTTGAAGTATTCCTAAGATTCCCAGATATTTTTGTCAATACAGCAATTCTTGTCCCTTTCATGGCATAAAAAGGACATTTCAAGGGATATTTGCAATTTAAAAAAATACATTCAGTTGTAAGAAAGTGATTATTAAAGCTCTTTCAGGTTTAAAACATTTGAAAGTACATTTTGTTTTTCAAGAAGCATATTTTTTAGAATCAGCACTGTAAAGTCTATGAAAGTGAGCATTTTATGCTATGCTTTGGTTTAAATGTTATAAATTTGAAAGGTAATACTCACCTCTTTCCATGCCACGTTCCCCATAACCAAAATGAGATAAGTGAAAATATCCCCTCAATGAATTGATTTAACACAGAGAGGGGTCAAGACTTGGGTCAAGCAAATGTTGAAATTGATCCGAAAAAAAAATTAGTCCCTAATATTTGATGGCAGGAGAAAAATTCATAAAATTCTTACTTTGTCCAATACCAATTTTAGAAAATGGTTTACTTTGTCCTTTCATTTTTATTATTTAGCTTTAGCCATTATCTTAATTCTACATTGGGTTTAATTTTGTTTGAATTGTCTATAACATTTTCTTATCGGTAGGTACTTATTTTATCAATTTTTTTGGATGCCAAGGCTATTCAAGATTTTGAATACTTGTTGACAACAGATTTACAAAAATTACACATAAAATACTTACCCCATTACTACTATTCAGATTCTCCAAAGAGCATGCAGTCACAAAATCTTGTCCCTTGACTAAATTAACAAACGAACATCTAGGAAACCATCTCGCGTGTTCAGTCCAAGGATCATCATCTGGATCCCAATGCCTCAGTCCTCCATCACAGTGAAAACATCGTACTTGATCATTCATGCCTGAAATAATACAAAAATTAAACAAGATAAACACAACAATTTCAAAAATTACCTTCATAATAAAATCCAGCCTGTGCTAACAAATCCGGTGTCTGTATTAAATGTGGTGACCACGAACTGAAAGTTCTCAGCCTAGCCTCCACTGTACCATAATCTGCTCGTTTTGGTCCATTATGTTTTTGAACACCTAATTGATCTAAATTACCATCTATTGAATTGTTAATTATATTAACATTTCTAAAAGTTGTACCCTGTGCTAGTTGACCGTTATCGCTGCTATGTAGTCTGGGATTGATTGTTGTAATTACAAATGGGCAAGCAGGAAAATGTCTTTTATGTTCTACATCTGGAATATCATTGGGTTCCCAAGCTCTAACGACCCCTTTGCAAAATGCACATTTTGTATTGTCTCCATTTTTCAGCGAATAAAATCCAGCTCTTGCTAAGTCTTCTGGTGAAACTACCTGTGGTATGGGCCAATTATCGAACGAGGCTAATCGTTCAGATTCATTTTTATAGTCTAAAGGAAAGGACGATGAAGGTATACTTAGAGGTGAAACTACAGCAGGAATATTGCCGGAGGAGGCTGGATCTGAAACGAAAGGACAATTGGGTTTTAAGGATCTGTGTCTGGCCATTACTTGATCGCCATAGTTCCAAGTGGTTATTTTTAAACCACACGAAAAACATTCTACTTCTAGATTATTTCTAGTAAAATAAAAACCTGCTTTGGCTATCCTTTGAGGGCTGACTGATGCATCTGCAGGCCAATCGTTGAACGTTTCGAGACGGTTTTGTTCGATATTCATGTCGGCGATTGCACAAAATTTCAATATTCTAGATCAGGGAACGTAAATAATTTGATTATTTGATACTCAACTGGTACATAATAATATATTTGTAGATGATGACATTACTTTTGGATCACTCTATTTAATCTATTGACATGTTATTTATATGGATGAATGATCAAATATTTTGAAAAATTAGTTGTTGATTTGCTGATATGGATTTTGTCGATTTTTTTAACCCTTCACTGTGGTATACTGGTTGGTTGGATGTTGGTGGATTTTGGTACTGACCAGCTGACTTTGACTGATGGCAAACTGATGGGCAACGTCAGCTGTGACGTGCTATCGTACATCGTTCGATAACGATAACTTGGTATTACAAACCACTAGTCAAACCTTAAGCAAGCAGTCATGACGAAAATAGTCAGAGCAGTCAGAGTAAAGACCCAGGATATTTGAAATCGCCTATAATATTTTTGTTATGTTATGATTTTGGATATGTATTGTATTGCAAATATTGCATGCAAATTCCTATAGTTGAGTTCTTTTTTTAAAATTTTTACCTGATTTCCTTAATTTGCAACTCATTAATTTAAAATTTACTTTCGATAAAAATATATTTTGTTTGTTAAAAGTTTTTGCTTTACTTCTTTAGCAACATATTTGTTAAGATTGCAAACAGTTTTATCATCTTGTATTTCAGTGGTTCAAGCGATAAATATATTTGTTAATAATAATCTTTAAGGATCAAAGTTCATTTTGTTGTGCTCCATCATTATTTACTGCTGAAGTTCAGACCAGCAGAATATACACATATCTATACATAAAATAAGAAAAATGACTATTTCACGAGTTCTTTTTAAGGTAAGAACATTTTTTTTACAAGTATTTTAGTATTTACTTAAAAGAGTTTGGCAAGGAGTTTGGGCATATTATGGGAAATTCCTAACCTAAGTTTTATTTGTCTGTTCAATAAGTGACTATGTTTAGTCACTAGAACGATTGGTACTTCTAAATAGGCATTAAAAATTCTATAGACGTTCCTCTATTTAGGCTATGATGGAATTATTATTAATCAATTATTAACTTCACTCCTCCTAGAGTAGATTACTGACCCTGAAGTCAACTTCATCAAGGCAGTAGACGAATTCGCTCTAAATATTTTTGTGGATGTGGAGACAAGTTAATTACCTGATCTAGGATCTGTAATCTGTATGTACCATCGTCACCAAAAGTATCTGGTACAAAAATAATATTCGGGGGTAATACCATGAGTGCTTAAAAATAATCGAATGTATTACCACAAGAGGTTTCGGGATTACCGGATAATAGGTACTTTTACCTGTCACGAAAAGTATTAGGTAATCCTGAAAAATCGAGTGGTATTCAAAACGTTATACATCGAACTCAACTTTAATACAAAATGAAACAAAATTTTTTCTATAATAAAATTTGCTATAATAATTGCCACCAGGCGCGATAATCCCAAAAGGCTTATCACTTATTAAGCCTCTCGTATCATATGGGAATAATGTACAGTGAGTTGTATTGTTGTTGTATAATCGAATGTAATACCACAAGAGGTTTCAGGATTACCGGATAATACTTTTACCTGTCACAAAACGCGTTACGCAGCAACACCACGACTCCGAAGGAGGAGTGGTGTTGCTGGTAACGCGTTGAGTGTCAGGTAAAAGTATTAGGTAATCCTGAAACATCGAGTGGTATTCAAAAGGTTATACAACGAACTAAACTTTAATACTTCAAAATTTAAACAAAATTCTATAATAGAAATTTGCTATAAATGCCACCAAGCGCGATAATCCCAAGGCTTATCACTTATTAAGCCTCTCGTGTCATATGGAAATAATGTACAGTGAGTTGTATAACCGCTGTAATTTTTCGATTTGTCACTTCTCTTATGGGAAATTTTATACATGAGTGGAATATTCTTAATAATCTCCTGGACTATTTCTACCATCATTGATTTTATTTATAGTTAGACAAATATTTGACACAAAAGTCACATAATAGTACAAGAGCTAATATGTCAAATTTAGATTGTTTTGTGTTTTCAAGTACTTCCTATGACTACTTATTATTTTGTTTCAACATGTAAACGCGGTCTGCATAACTGAATGGAATAACAAGAAAAGTCTGCACACAAGTCCATCAGGACTTCAGCAGAAATGTTCTTATTTATTTATTTTCCTTCAGGCAATAGTGTTAAGTATAGGTAAACTATATTGGGTATTTTTGTTATTATTTAAGGATACTATTGTTGATCAATAAATAAATAAATAAAAAAAAAAAAAAAAAAATATGTTGCTGTCCCAGTTACTTTTGGTGACGATGCCAACGATGGTACATACTAAGGTTAGGTTAGGTTAAAGGGTTTGCCCTACAACTGTAGAGCTTGCACTTGAAGGCCTAATTGGCCCATTGTGTTCCTTTCTTCACAGTGGTTCCCTCCCAAATCTTTAACATATTTCTCCTTTCTTCGTTTTGTGCCAGTGCATGATGGTTTTTACAAAGTTCAGTATTTTCATTAGGCAATCCAATCCATCTGTCTGGCACAAAATTCATATGGCGTGGCGGCCAAGCAAGTTTATTTTGAATATGTGTTTTTTATGTGTATTTTAGTTATTTGAACACTATGCTGGAACAACGTTTCAAACGCCAAATATACCAAACAAGCGCGAAACTAGGGCGGTTGCAATTAAAACGTTATTGCACAAAAAGGACATACTGGGCCAATTGAAATGGCATCAACACTTCATAAAAAAAAAATCATATTATCCCACTATTAAGTTGGCGAATTATCCAGGGTACAATACAACGTAAATCGTCAGACGTCTAGTTCGTTGCAAAAAGGGAGTCAGACGTCCTCAAAGTTTCTATTTTATGGCATTTTCTTCAAATATATTTGTCAAATACCTGCAAAAATATATTTTGACAGGACACCGAAGAAAATGCCATAAAATAAAAACTTTGAGGATGTCTGACCCCCTTTTTGCAACGAACTAGACGTCTGACGATTTACATACGTTATCTGTGACCTTCAAACAGATAATGCGCAAAATTTCTATAAATTTTGAGCTTTGAGAAAACAGTTTGAATGCTTCTTAAAATTGCAACTTTGCCCGCGTCCCAGAGCCAGCTGTCCCGGAACTGTGAGTGCTGACTGTGCACTAGCATTCTAGCACTAAAATACGACCTATTTTGAAAATATCCGCCTTGCGAAAACTCTTGCATGTTTTTGACGCCAGCTCCCCAACTATAAATATCGATAACTTGGAGATGCGTAGGACATTTCTGACAATCATGTTCGGGTTCAAAATACTAACCAATAATGTGAACTGTCCGGAACTTTTGGCACTTATAAACATTCATGTGCCTCCACGCGATACGCGTTTAAATGGTATGTTTTCAACTAATAGAAGCCGGACTGATGTTGGTAGAAATAGTGTCATGAATCGCATCATGCATCTCTTCAACACAGATATTCCTGCGAATTTTGAATTCAATTGCACCCCAATTACATTCAAAAATCAACTGAAATCAATATTAGCAAACCTTTAACGACCATAGATCGGAGGCATTTCAGTGACTGCAAATACGGCAGTATGGATCTTGACTCTCTGTGAAAATGAGTTACAGCGCCGATATATGATTTAAGGGGAAGTTAGGGAATTAATTAAGGAAAGGGTGCCATATGTATGTACCTATTGTATTGTGTTTATTTACTTTTATTTGTATTTGCCTTGTATTAATTGTTGTGATCATATGTATAGCACAGTTTTGTTTTATTTTTTTTTTTGAAAAAGTTTGTCATAGATATAAGTATACCATTTGGAGTTTGCTCTGTTGTGTAATAAACAATAAATAAAAATAAAAATATGCTTACATAATTTGGATTTACTGCAGATTAATTGAAACAAATGGAAAGATATACTACCTGATATGTATCAGTAATCAGTATTAGTAAAGTGTCATTTACATCCACTCAACTTAACATACAGAAAATTAATAATAAAGAAAAGTTGATGATCATGTATACTTTTTTAATTGACCAACAACATGGGTTCCGTCAGGGAAAGTCCACCTCTACCAATCTCGTCTTATATCATGATTACATTGTCAGGGCCTAGGAGAGCGGTTACCAGGTAGATTCCATCTATACAGATTTCTCGAAGGCCTTTGACATGGTAAATCATACACTTCTCATTTCTAAGCTAAGATGGCATGGGTTCCCTGAGTGGCTCCTTTTATGGGTAACTAGTTATCTGGGTGGCAGGGTTCAATTCGTGAATATTAGGGGATCAACCTCAATTGCCATATCAGTTACTTCCGGAGTCCCACAAGGCTCACATGTGGGCCCCCTCCTTTTTAATTTATTTATAAACGACATTAGTGACATAATAAAATTTTGCAAGTTCTTATTATTTGCTGACGATCTTAAATTATATTTTAAGATATCAAATTTGTCAGATTGCTTAATGGTCCAGGAAGATCTAAATTCCCTTTATGATTGGTCTGTCGCTAATGATCTTCATCTGAATAAAGATAAATGTTTTGCTATATCCTTTTCTAAGTCAAGGGATCCAATTAAATTTGACTACCATATTAACTTAGATTTTCTTCAAAGAGTTAATGAGATTAAAGACCTGGGTGTAGTTTTTGATTGCTCCCTGTCTTTTATCCCCCACATTAATAACATGTCAAACAAATCCTTTCGTATTCTTGCTTTCATTACCAGAAACTCTCGAGATTTTTCAGTATCGACATTTAGAGTACTGTACTTGACACTGGTTCGTAGTATCTTATCCTACTCTTCAATAGTATGGTCTCCTTATTATTTAAATCATATCTACACCCTGGAAAAGGTGCAAAACAAATTTCTCAAAAGTTGTGCGTGGAAATTAAATTTGCAAAATTCATCAATGGTAGAGTTAAGATCATTGCTTAATCTTGATTCCCTTGAGGATTATAAAACTGGATGTGACCTAACATTTTTATATAAATTACTTAATTACCATATTGACTGCTCTGATTTACTAGGCCTTATAAATTTTAAATGTAGTAATAGAATTCTTAGAAATATGCCATTATTTACAATTGAAAACCATCACACAAACTATGGGAAATATTCTCCTGTTAACAGAATTCAGTTGTTGGGAAATGATTTTACGCAACACCACTATGAACTGATTGATATTGGGTTTTCAAAGTTTAAACTTTATGTTAGTGAATATATTAGAAATACAGGGTGTCCCACGGTGGATGGCGTATTAGATGTTTATAGAGAACTAAAAAGCGAATCATTTTGAAAATTTGGCAACCGGGATAAACGACCATGATCTACACTTTAAAAATATTTTTGACCATGCGGTGTTGCCGCTTCTACTCTAAACTAGTGGCAACATCACTATTTTAAATGGACCACCCAGTATTTAATTGCATATTTGGATTCTACGTAAAATTCTGAGCATATTTGATGTGATATACCCTATACCTAAGTTCAACTGTTTTGGAAATATTGACAGTTGAAAATTGACTTTTTGCAACTTTGACAGGCTGTAAAACCTAATTGGTTAATTTTAGAGGAAAACCGATTTCACATTCCTATCTTAGATTTTGATAAACTATCATTTAACACCAACTTTGAACTTAACCAGAGATTAAATTTAACTGAAATTTTTAATCATGGATTTAATTCTAAGTTGGTGTCAAATGATAGTTTATAAAAATCTAAGATAGGAATGTAAAATCGGTTTTCCTCTAAAATTAACCGTTCAGGTTCTACAGCCTGTCAAAGTTGCAAAAAGTCAATTTTCAACTGTCAATATTTCCAAAACAATTGA